GAAGTTTTTTTTAATTCCTGATATTATGTATAGGTTAGGACATGACTGAAACAAATACTGGTGAATATTATTTATTTTCAATAGTGAAATGTGGCAAGTTTTATCACAAATGTTAAGGTATATTTTTCTTGTCCACTAAGTACTGTAAATTACTCGGCAAACATTTATATATCATAATCTTCTACATAATCAAAATAGCTTTGTCATTTAATATCCACATTAGGTAATTTCATTTTTCCTATACAGTTACCTAGAATTTTTATAAACTGCTTATAAGACAGGAGTTTTACATTTATGGGGAGTTGTGCACAATATACACATTTATAGCCATAAAGCTTTTAACAGATTCTGAGGCTGTTATGAATCACAGATACCATGCCACCGTCAGCTACACTGATGGTGGCAAGAGTCCCCACATAATTTTTCGGTGTTGTATGGCAGTTGCTGAAGCAGAGTAGTCAAGGTAATTGACTGTGAAAATTCCAATGCTCAGGCCCCTTGACAAAGCAGCTGCATATTTATAAGCCAAGCTTCTCTCATCATCATAACGCATTTGGTGCATCTGACCCGTGCTGATATCCTACAGAAGAAAATGAACCTTCACCAGGTGAACTATAGACTCAACCTTATGAGGTAAGTTTTTGAATACTTTGACAAAGGATGCTGTTAGCATTTACTAAATACTTTGGGAAAGCATGCTGTTATCTTTAAACATTTAGTTAAATGAAATAAATTACTTTTTTATCTTGAAACATTACTTTTGAAATTAAGGAGTTCTATGAACACTACCATGTTCTTTCTCACCATAAATGATTTGCTACTCACCTTGACATTGAACCAAGGACTAAGAGAGTTCTTGTCCCAGTGGTATTGTGCATGGTTGGCCTCCATAGTGTTGATCATGTAGCTGTACGGATATTCCTTCCCAGCTGCGTCACTGCAATTTACACCTCGGAATGGGACTTCCTTGATGAAACATGTTCCATTCTGTAAATTTGTTGTGAGTGGGAGGAAGAGTTGGGGGAAAGAAAATGAATATACAATTAAAAAGTTGCACGTACACACCTCCAAACATGTATGCAGATATTCAGATATAATTATTTATCTCTTGATTTATTCACACACATGAGGACAATGCGATTCATAAATTCATGAAATTTTCTACGAGCTGTATACCTTGTCCAAGTTAATGCATGGGTAGTTATACCCGTACCAGGGAACACCCAGGATCATCTTCTGGGGAGGAATACCCAAACTTATGTAAGACTCTATCCCTTGTGCTGTCTTGTAGATGCCTGAATTTGGTCTAAATGAAAGAAAACCATATTATTATTTTAATTATTACTTGTGAAAATAATATTGTTAAGGATAAACACTTGTAACATATGATTCCAATATTACCAATAGTATGAACTGTGGCAACAGTTCAAGGTAAATTGAACATCTCTGATACTAATGAAACCTTTTAATAATTAAATAAACTTCATTACTTAAGAGAGTTCTTAGTATTTCTTAGCAAAATATTGGTATATTCTTTACTATTAGTAAATGGTGTGTTGTAAATAATTTACCTGGCAGTACAAGGGCCGTCTAAGATCTGACTCTGCTCATCGTAGGCCATAATGAATATCAGATCACTGTAATTAGCAATGGCTTTGTACTCGTAGAATCGTCCATCTATACCTTCTGCTGACCATGCAACATCAAAAGATACCTGCAACATGTATTATAAAAGGGCTCTGTGATCACTCCTGCTCATATTTCTGTACCTTTTGATTAGATGTCAACCTGTTAATCTCAAGCTATTGGGGGTAGCATGTATTTACTCGCCATGCCCACTTAGTTTATTAGCTGTCTTTCCACGTATAAGACTCCACAAGTATTAACCCAACTACCACGGATTTATGTTCTGTCCCTTGTAGTTTTTTGTGAATTTTGTTACATACAGATGCCTCCACATGTGCTTAGACAGCAAGGAGTCTATCAGTAAGCCCTAGTGACCGATCCTGATTTTCCCATTCCTTGAATTGATGGGAAATGTCTTTTTCTTATTAATACAACTGACTGTTATTATCATTATTGATGTTATAATTATTAAATTGCTATTTAAATCTTGATAACATTTAAGACAATGAAATAATACAATAGACCCTTTCCAAAAATCAAGGAAACAGGGAAACAGGTAAACAGGTGAGATAAGTTGGACTAATAACTGACTCCTTAGTGATTAAGCACTTGTAGAGCCACCTATGAGTAAATACAATAAATAAACTTATATTACAGTGGGTATGGTATGTATTCTTGCCATCCATGCCAATTAGGTTAATTCACCAATGAGTCAAGCATGAGTACTCCGAATCTCACCTGTTTACCCTTCTTCTTGAGTTTTGGATTTTTGATTTTGTTTTTCTGGTATCTTATTTTGTGGTTAGTAATGTCAGTAACATTATAATAATTATAATGATCTATAATAATAATAACAGCATTAATATTGCAAGGTAAAATCAGGTGGGGTCATAAGGTTTACTAATTGACTCCTTTGTGGAGCCATCTATGTGTAGAGACATTTCATAAAACAATACTACAGTGAATACTATATTTTCTTAGTGATGTTGGGTTACTTTGTCATGCACATTAAAATATTGTTCATTGAAGACCAGGATATTTTACATATGGCACAAATATGTAGGGTTTCGGATGGAGAATGGCAACAGGTAATTCAGTCCTTTTTTGTTAAAAGCAATAATACACTGCAATTCCTTATGGCATCTGTTTCTTCGCCAATGTTCCAGTTATCACATCTATTTTTCATAAAAATCTATAAAATTATTAAACATAAAAAATTATAAAATTATTAAACATAAAAATCTAAAACATTATTATACATAAAAATCTATAAAATTATTAAACATAAAAAATTATAAAATCATTAAACATATAAATCTATAAAATTACTAAACAGTGTATATAGCCTGGAAGTGGTATAAGAGCCAGTTAGGAATGTAAAGTAGTTTACATTAATAGCTGTAATCTTTCTTCTTAACAAGTTTGATCATCTTGAGAATAAAGAAATCAGTAGAAGTTTTAGACTGGGTTTGTTTCAAAGCTTTCTTTACATTACACTGCAAATATTGTCTGTATAATATAGATATACATCTATACCTGATGTTAAATTAAAAAAAAAAAAAAAAAAAAAAAATCATATAACCCTGTGGCTGAGGATATGACCAAAAGATTACAATACTGTACCTGTGATCCAGGCAAGACAGAGTGAAAAACACTTGCAGTCTCTCGGACAAGGCTTGTGAGCCCTTTTTGCTCTGGAGTGTTTGGTTCAATGGCATCCTCATAGTCAATGTTTATTCCGTCCAAGAATTTAAGGGCTGTGTCACTGGCTTGCATGTCAACCCAGTTTGCCCGAGCAGTGGCATTGGGCAGTTTGCTTGTTGGGAAGTTACCTGTGACATTAAAAAAGGCTTAAAAGATGACCTTTATAGTCTAAATTTAATCATCTTGTTTTTTTTTTCTGCAAAATACATATACGAAGACTTATTAGTTACCATAATAAAAAATAAAAATTGAATTCTGAACTATCAACAAAAATTAGTAATTTAGTAAACAGCAAGAAACTATTTGCCCTTTTTCCATTCCTCAAAATATTCATTAAATATTTTTGTATCTTATTGAATATTATTTGTGCAGGAGGTTAAGGCTCACTGTCTCACCTAGTTTGACAACTTTCACTCCATGCTGATGAGCAAAACACACAAGATGTGGATCATAAAACCCAGCAATAGCAATGGTTGTTAGTTTGGTCCAGTCAAACTTGCTCCATACTGAAGAATCACACTTAAGAACAAATGCAAATACCTGGATAAGAAACAGAAATTAGTTCTACAGCTGTATACCAGTGTGCACAATCAAAGACAATAGTCATTTCATGCTCTTGTTATAAATTATCAATGACATGAATAATATGAAGGGCCTAACTTAGTTATTTACAGTGGCAAAACTTTCATACTGTTTTACGAGTTACATTTAATCTTTGAACAAATCACAAAACCAGTATGAAATTACCAAACTTATTGTAATGATACTGAAAAGTTAAATAGTATACTAAAAAGTTCTGCTTTCAACTATAATCTTTTTCTGTAGACAGAATTTACATATACCTTGTTTGTTTTCAGTACATTATATACAAATATGTGTGTGTGTGTGTGTGTGTGTGTGTGTGTGTGTGTGTGTGTGTGTGTGTGTGTGTGTGTGTGTGTGTGTGTGTGTGTGTGTATAATGTACCTATGCATGTATGCTGTTGACTGGAACACACACATGCATTACACACAAATATGTAAAAATGTTTTCTGGTCTACAATCTGTCTGGGAAACTATAACACTGGCAAGAAACAGCAAATGCAACCATGTATATCTGGGCAACAGGAAGCTTGGACTGGTTCCTAAGATGTTAATAACTTGCCATGGAGGGCAACATGCTCTATATCACCAAATTAATGAATTGGAGGTTTGTTTACTTTTGCTGAAGTGCTGATAGGCATGGGGACCTAACCCATGGGAGTTTCCTAAATTCATTATTATGTCATTGAAAACTGATGGATTCCTACCTCTTTCTTTGCGGACTTCCTGACATATTCCCGAACGTGGGGTGCGGAAGGACTTTTCTCCTTGGCCTGAGCAAGGGGCATACACAGCAGGTCTTGGCTACAGGGACAATCCCGGCTGCTCTCTAGGGGAGGAAGCAGTTCTGGACTCTGTGTGAAATGCTTCTGGTTGATCAAGGCCCCCAGGCTCACTTCAGCAAGTGTGGCCAGTATTATGGCAAATAAAACTTTCACACTACATTCCATTGTTCTGTGTCCTGAAATAGGGAAAGGTTTAGGATATTAGGTGAATAACTTGTCACCATGCCTTCCTGAATATCTGATTTTCAAATAAGGAATAAATCATGCAATATCTTTACTATAAGACATTAACTCATTGCAGATCTGGAATGAGTGTCACACTAAAATGTTCAGCAACATTAACCAATTTCCTGTTTCAACCTCTGAGCACTCGCGTGACAAATAACTTTATTTTTGATTTGCAAAGGAAGTGCATAGAAGACAAGTTTCTGAGACTTATTTGCTCTGTCCACTGCATATAATATTTTCCTTATAAAAGATGGCTGGATGAAACCTAACCCTTACCAAGTGTTCTTCACTATACCATCAACATGTACTAAACAAACCAAAGTAACAAGGTCTTTTCAGAAGCGACAAGTGGATGAAGGCCCTATGACTCACAATACAAGAAGTGACTAAGCTCCACAGAACGCGAAATCACGTACCCGCAGAACAACACACAGCCAACACATACCTCTTCCCAATCTCTCCAGTAACAGAAGCTAACGCGGGCCTTCCCTTCCCTGCTGCTTATCCCTTATCTGCAACCGCCCCCCGAGCCGTCAGCGCCGCCGGAGGAACGTGACGGCGGCCGCGGCTTCCGTCCCGAGGTGCCCGGAGCCGATCCTCGCGGCGGGGCAGGCGGGGGAAAAGACGAAAAAAATATATAAAAGGGGAAAAGGGGGGAAAGGCGAAAAAATATATAAAAGGGGAAAAGGGGGGGAAAGGCGAAAAATATATAAAAGGGGAAAAGGGGAAAAGGCGATAAAATATATATAGTGGGGAAAAAAGACAAGCATTGAGAAGGGAGGAAATTGATTGGATAGCGTTAATGCGTGAATATAGACAGAGAGAGAAAAATCTTATTTGATAGATATATTGATAAATAGGTAGGTAGTAGAGAGATTGATTATGACGAGAGAGATAAATTGATAGATATGTACATGCCACCTTATACATCGGTGTGGTCACAAGAAAATTATCAAAAACTTGTTCAAGAATCGTTAAAGAGCCTGGAAGAAGTGCTACAACTTTCGGAAACTAATGCAAAAGAAATTCTTGTAACAGGGGATTTTAATAGCAAAATTGACTGGGAAAGTTTCGATCCCAGATCTCAGCGTGGAATGCAAAATTACTAGAAGTCATAAATGAATTTCTTCTCTTCCAGACTGTAACAGATCATATCAGGATAACAGGGCTAGATAGACAGTCTATGTTTAACCTAATATTTTCAGAGCATAAGGAGGACATTAAGGATATAGAGTACTGCTCTCCTGTAGGAAAAAGTGACCACGTAGTAGTTAATTTGAAATACTGTCTGCCACAGGAAAAACTCATCATTAGTAAGGAAAGAAAAGGAAAGAACAATTACAAAAGAGGTAATTGTAGAAGCCTTAAATATTTCTTTGATGGCATAAACTGGGAAACCTTCCTGTACGAAGAGAACCTTGATATGCAATATTCTAAATTTTGCGAAGCCTATAAACAAGTAGATCAAAATTGAATCAAGATTCAAATCTGAAGCAAGAAAAGGCCAAAAGCGGTCCATTGATAAATGCAAGAAAATGGGAGAAAACAAACCACTCCTTTGGAGAAGGTTCAGAAGACATAGATCTCAGGCAGCGAATGAAAGATATAAAGTAGGAAGAAATGAGTATACTCAAACCATGAGAGGGGCGAAATTAGACATTGCAAAGGATATAATCAATAAACATACAAACCGACCAAAGTTCTTCTTTAACTACATAAATAGTAAGACTAAAAGTAGAGATCAAATTGACGCTATCAAAGGCAATAACATCGTTTATACCAAGGAGGAGGAATTGTGTAAAATCCTTAATGAGAAAATTCCGTCAGTGTTTGTTCAGGACCCATACTTTGAAAGGGCAAGTAACCGTACAAACGTAAGTCAGAATATCGAAAATATCACACTCGAAAAGAATGAAATAAAAAACCTACTGAAAGGGTTAGACAAGCCTAAAGTAGAGGGACCAGATGAGATATCTAACTGGGTTCCGTGGGAATGTGCCAAAGAATTATGTACTCCGTTATTGTTGATATTCCAAAATTTAGTGAAACAAGGAAAACTACCAAAAGATTGGAAACTTGCCAATGTTACACCTTTATACAAGAACGGCAACAAACAAAACCCTCTAAATTGTAGACCAGTTTCATTAACTAGTGTAGTATGGAAGCTGTTAGAAAGGATAATTTGGAAACAGTGGGGTTGAAGTACTTGAAAAACATGATATGATATCAAATAAACAATTTGCTTTTAGGGAAGGAAGGTCATACGTAGCAAATCTCGTCTGTTTCTGTGAAAGTTTCTGAAATACTACAAGAAAGAGACGGCTGGGTGGATTGTGTGTACTTGGACTTTAAGAAGGCATTTGATAAGGTGTTTCATAAAAGACTATTTTGGAAATAGAACATCTAGGTGGAGTGAAAGGCTAACTCCTCGAATGGATGGAAAACTTTCTTCATGAAAGAACTGTAGATAGAGGGAAGCATTCTACATGGCGACGAGTAACTAGTGGAGTACCTTAAAAATCGGTCTTGGCGCCGATTATGTTTATGTAAATATATGTTTGTAGACGTCACGAAATTACCAAAAAAAAGATAACAGACGGTGTCTCATGCCAATGCCTCCTAAGTGACATCGAGAACATATTCATTTGGAGTTGTACATGGAAAAATATAATTTAATTGATACCATGTAGTCAGGTTCGGAAAAGGAAAAATCGTCCACTATACCAATACGTAGGGGGCGTAATATTAAACCAAGCAGATAAAAAAAGACCTTGTAATAATCATAAACAGGAATCTAAGCCCAAATGATCATATAAATGACAAGGTTCATAAAATGCTAGAGTTGATTGCCAACGTGAAGAGGGCATTCGTTGTATGTGCACGAAGACATGATAAAGAAGGTCGTTATAGCCATCATAAGACCTAGTCTTGAGTGTGGTGCAGGGTTTATAGAGAGGATAGTAAAAAGAGGCGAGAAAGATGTCAAGAAGTTCAGTTTCCCAAGCAGAACTATTGAAACATGGAACAATCTTCCGAATAACGTTGTGTGTGCCAAAACACACACACACACACACACACACACACACACACACACACACACACACACACACACACACACACACACACACACACACACACACACACACATACACACACACACACACATATATAAAGAGAGAGAGAGAGAGAGAGAGAGAGAGAGAGAGAGAGAGAGAGAGAGAGAGAGAGAGAGAGAGAGAGAGAGAGAGAGAGGAGAGAAAGAGAGGGAGAGAGAGAGAGAGAGAGAGAGAGAGAGAGAGAGAGAGAGAGAGAGAGAGAGAGAGAGAGAGAGAGAGAGAGAGAGAGAGAGAGAGGAGGGGGGATGGATAGATAGGTAGGTAGAGAGATAGGTAGATAGGTAGACAAATAGATAAAGATTATTACCAATTAAAAAAAGTGCTGTGTAATAAATTGCCTTCGGCTGTCTTTCCACTGATTCCTAAATCTGTGCCGTTGTATGTGGTTCTTCATTCTCTCTCTCTCTCTCTCTCTCTCTCTCTCTCTCTCTCTCTAATCCCCCCCTCTCTCTTTGTTTGTTTGTGTGTGTGTGAGTTTGTGTGTGTGACCTTCCACATACTTATATTTATGTACATTTATACATCCATCTATACATATATACATACATGCATACACGTACATGTATAAATAAATAGATAAACACTCACACATACACAAACACATACAAATACACATGTATGTAAGTAAATATATATATATATATATATATATATATATATATATATATATATATATATATATATATGTATATATGTGTACACACACACACACACACACACACACACACACACACACACACACACACACACACACACACACACACACACATATATATATATGCCCATATATATATATATATATATATATATATATATATATATATATATATATATATATATATATTTATATGTGTGTGTGTGTGTGTGTGTATATATATATATATATATATATATATATATATATATACATATATATATATATATATATATATATATATATATATATATATATATATATATATATATATATATATATATATATATATATATATATATTTATATGTGTGTGTGTGTGTGTGTATATATATATATATATATATATATATATATATATATATATATATATATATATATATATATATATATATATTTATATGTGTGTGTGTGTGTGTGTGTGTGTATATATATATATATATATATATATATATATATATATATATATATATATATATATATATATATATATATATATATATATATTTATATGTGTGTGTGTGTGTGTGTGTGTATATATATATATATATATATATATATATATATATATATATATATATATATATATATATATATATATATATATATATACACACACATACATATATATACATATATATATATATATATATATATATATATATATATATATATATATATATATATATATATATATGTATATATATATATATATATATATATATATATATATATATATATATATATATATATATATATATACATATATAAATCTAGATCATATCATATCCTCTTCCCCTTGTGTGACTACACACGAGAATACTGCAATGCTGCATTTAAAACGAATAAACTGTTTAGCATATAATGCATAGTTTATTTTGGTGATTGTTTAACATTGATTCATAGTCTAAATGCTTACCCGTAAAACTGAATTTGCGTTTTAACTATTGGTATTTCTCAAATTATAGCTAAAAGTTCAAGAGAAAAAAAAAATATATGATCCAGTGTGAAAGATGTCGATGAGCATATTTGACAAACACTCCCCTTGTTTTGGCATATATAAAATTCCTAATGGAAGTGCTGTATCATATCAACGTTATATTTTATTAGCACACATATGTTGAATATAATGAGCGCTTGGCACCTCCTGCAGCGACGCCCTCTGCGCCTTTTGTATCCGGGGACCTGCAACGATAAAGCAGATACGATATCAATTGTCTCTCAACTACTTAGCTACCCATGTTCCACGGTATATGGTTTATGCAT